CACTGTGCACCCCCAGATGTTCCTCCGGGCCCTCCTAGGGGGGCACACCCCACAATTTGGGTACCACTGCTCTAAGGCAGCTAGTCCTAGCCACTCTCTGAGGCAAGATGCCTGACCAGCTGGATCAGTGCGCTGACCTGGGCTGGCAATTTGTATGTTACATTTTCTCTACCAGACCCAACTCCAGCTGCTGCTGTGTACTTCGTACAGTTAGCAGAAATCTTGTCCCTTCCTCTCAGAGCCACTTGTAATGATAAGCTGCATTCCTAGAAGCCCAACACACAGACATGTCACTTGTGATTGGGGTCACTTGGAACTAGGCTAATTACCTGACAGGCTGACTGCTCCAGCGCAGGTTCTTTAATAGAAATGAATGGGGCGATGAGGGAAAGACTGTTAGTTATTTCAGGGCAAATTCTGACCTCGGGCAGCAGCTAGGCCCAGCAGTAGGGCTTTCAATTTATCATCTGGTTTGCTGAACCTGGGCTGTAGAACTTAATTAACACATTTGCAACCATTCTGCTTTACAGTAATAGTCTGTGTGCTCATGAAATTAGATAAAGGCAGTTGTGGATTAAAAAAAAAAAATCTGTGCGGAAATTAGAGCTGGAAATTTAGGTCACCTTGTCAGTCCCTTTTCTGTTCCTTCACAGCTCTGCCCAATCCAGTGAGAGACATTTCCAGCAATAGGGTATGCAGCAATCCCCGTGGGGAGGCTGTTCCACAGACTTCAGCACTAGAGGGACAGATGGATGACTAATGGTGGGGATTCCCAAGTCAAACCAGGCCTATACTAATTACACAATTGCTGTATTGAGCAAAAATAGTACAAAGAAATATCTTCATCTTAAAAAATAAGTGGCTGTGATACTTCAGTAGTGCTTTTCATTTGAAGATCTCAAAGCACTTAGCACAGAATTTGTCATGCCTCATAACATGCTTCTGAGCAGATACAGAGACACTGGACTCAAAGAGCCAGCTTTATGAAGGGTCTGATCTTGATCTTTCAGGGTGCTGAGTATCCTCATCTTCCACTGAGGTTGTTGACAAAACCCAGGACATTGGAAGTTTGGACCCCAAAATAGCAAGTGAGTGGTAGAGTTTGGAAGAGAACTCAGGAGCCCTGCATCCTACTCCCCTGGTCTATCTAATAAGTAACCAACACTCCCTCGCTTAAAGGCTTAAGCCTTGATCTTGCAAAGGTGTATGTATGGATGTGCTTAACTTTACATATGACAAATAGTCCCATTGATTTCAATGAGACTGCGTCACTGCTAAGATCGCATAAAGTTAAGCACGCCCATACGTCTTTGCAAGACTGGGGCATTAATGGGCTTATTTCTGTGAATAAGATGGGCAGGATACGGCGCTTAAAGGCAGTAGACCTATTCACAGGAGTAAGGTGAGCAGGGTTCGACCCTTATTTAGTAAAACAACTCTGACTCGTAACTATTTAATCAGAAACAGACTTTTCTTAAAAAAACCAAACCAACCCCTCAAGACAGTGTCAACAGAGCCATCTAAAAAAGTGGCTTTGCAGCTGGTAGTTAATTACATGAGGACAATTTCTAAAAATATAATTATCTACTGAAAGAGAGCGCGCACACATAAAAAACATCACTTGTGGTCTAGGATGGGCCAGGTGAACCACTTCAATTCCACAGCCAGTTGGGGAGAGCAGAATTCTGTAAAAATCCAATACTGTACTTATTCCTAAAAGCCTGGAACAGAAGAGCCAACAGAGATTTGCTGAGTAGCTGAATAACCCCCATGAAATATAAACATAAAAAACAATTTACTGTCTCCTCAGTGCTCTCAGCTGGCCATGTAGGAAGATGTACTAAGTAGAGCATCTTATTATATTGAAAAGGACATTGTCAAGGTTAGTTGCCCCCATATTTAACCCTTTCCCTCTCCTTATCTGTCTGAACAGTCTGATGTAACCGTGATGGGTTGTGCAGCCCACATCAGCCCTGATAGGGTTAATGAAGGTCTGAGACCAGTTAGTCACCTGGCATCACCTGAGAGGAGGGCCAGGGTTAACAGAGTGAATCCCAGCTGGGAGAGGGCTGGGCCAGCACTATAAAGCGAGCAGCGAGACCAGGAAGGGGGTGCCAGCTCCATGGCCATCCTGTCTGACTCCCTATGAGAGCTGCAGGCAATTTACAGTGGCAAGTCTGACAGCAGAAATGATTTTCTTAATGAACTATTACTGGTAACAACCCAACTGATGCAACTGGATGTAACCATAGTAATCACATGGATCCTGGTGCATGTAGGGACAGCAGGCAACGAAGAGGCAGACAAACAGGCAAAAAGTACAATTAATTCTGAATGCACTGACCTGGGAATCCCCTGAAGCAAATTGGAATTTAAACACCTAAATAAAAATGTGGTAAGGAAGGAATGGCAAGCGCTGTGGGTGAACAAAACGAAGGGGAAAAGACTTGGAGAAGTATGCCCAACAGTTGAAAATGTTGATATTCTCCAAGGCTCTGAGAGGAAGAGCAAAGTGGGTCTATTTAGAATTCTAACAGGGCATTGCAGATTAAATAGTAATTTATTTCTCATTAATATGCATAAAGATGGATTATGCGTAACATGGAAGGCGCAGGAAATGATAGATCACATCCTTTGGGATTGTAAAGACTGCACCAGTGAAAGGAGGTGTTTAGATAGAAAACTCAGAGGCCTTAAAATAACAACATTTTCCTTGCAAAATCTAGCAAGAATACAAGGAAAATAGGGCCCAATTAAAAAAAAAGCTCTTCTGCAATTCTTTAAGAATACAGGAAAGGTGCGAGACTCGCAGTCACAAACAAGCTACAAAATACAGAGCACGGCAGTCGTAGCCTCAGGAAGGGAAATTTAGATGCAGTAAATGTGGAGGGGAGCATTTATATGACAAGTGTAGCAAATATGGAGGAAAGCACAGTGCAACCTATGGAAAGTGTACAGCAGCCAAGCCAGAGAGGTACAAAAACAATGCAGAAGCTACTAGGAGGCATCTAAGACCAAAAGGGGAAGAGGAAAGGAAACTCAGTAAGAAGAGATAAGTACACAACATAATAAATCAAAGGATATAATGAGTGCTACAGGGGGAAAAGGAGAAGACATACTATGTATGGACAAAGAGTTTTATACCATTTCTGATGTAAGCAATAAACTGCACATCACAGGCAGGGATAAAAATCAGAGAATGAAAATTATGGTTAAAGCAGCAGGAAAGTACCTACATGTTAGCAACTTATCAGTAGAACAACTCCATGCTTTTTTAAGTGAAGGAAACACTGAAGTGTAAATAGAATGGTACTAAGTATTTACTGTTTACTGTCTAATACAGCGGTTCTCAACCCGTGGTCCAATTAGCACACAGCTGCAGCCCACCTCAGCTGTGTGCTAAAGGCTACCAACGTGCCGGGGTTGCCAGGTTCCTGGCTACCTGGTGCAGAGAGGTCTGGGCTGCCGGGCGGGGTCAGGGCTGCCGGCCTGCCCTGCTTGGTGGGACTCCGGGGTCAGGGCTGCCGGCTGGCCCCGTGAGGTCGGGGGCCCAGGGTCCGGGGCAGCCGCCCAGCCCCGTGAGCTGCAGAGTCTGGGGCAGCCGTGCGACGGGGGTTTGGTGTCGGAGCAGCTGCCAGCCCCACGCAGCGGGGGTCCAGGGTTCCCAGCCCCATGAGCTTCAGGGTCCAGGTCCAGGGCAGCCGGCCCGCTGCGTGTGACGGGGTCCGGGGCTGCCAGCTGGCCCCACGAGTTCTGGGGGCCGGGCAGCTGCGCGGTGGGGGTCGGGCAGCTGGCCGGCCCCACAGGGTAGCCAGCCAGCCCCGCGGGGTCCGGGGCTGTTGCGCGGTGGGGGCCTGGGGCGGGCAGCCAGCCGGCCCCACGCAGCGAAGGTCCGGGGTCGGACTCACAACGTATAATAAGTTGAGAACCACTTAATAGCACATAGACAGGAACTAAAGAAAAATATCCTCGGTAAAGATACTAAACCTGATATCATTTGAATACAAGGAACATGGTTCATAGGGAAAACTAGATTTTAGAATACCAGGATATGGCATCTATAGGCAAGAAAGAGAAGTTGGAAGGGGTGGAGGTGTTTGTACATTCACTAAGAAAAACCTAAATTATTGTGAAATTGAGTTGAAGAAATTTAATATAGAGTATAATGTTTTCAAGATTCCAAAGCAGAATAAATCTGCATCTTTGAAACTATATAATGTATACAACCCCCGTGGAAAACTGGAGATTTAAGGATTTGACAGACAGTTGAAGATGCCACAGGCCCATATATTATATGTGGAGACCTAAACAGCCATAAAAGATTAGGAGGAAGTGGAAAAAATGATAAGAATGGCAAATGTGTAGATCAATTCATTGATGAAAATAATTTAGTAATACTGAATGATGGTACACTACTAGGTTTAATGCAGCCAATGGAAATCTCTCCTGTTTAGACCTTGGAATTGTGTCAAGTAGTATAACGAGCAAATGCATCTGGGAAGTCGATGAAGAGGAGGGAATGGGAAGAGATCACTTCCCAGTATTTATAGTTTATCAAGGTAAAGGCAGTGTTGAGGATGGAGGAAGGCCCCCTACTTGGAATATGAAAAAAATCAAACTGGGAGCAAATGTAACAAAAATATTAATGAACAAGGTATAAGTTATAACACCGAGGAGTTTAGTAGCAATATACCTAAGGGAATTATAATGGCAGCGAAGTTAGCAATACTTAAGATATTAAGTCACCCTAAAGGTAGAAACCATGTACCATGGTGGAATGAGGAATATAAAAAAGCAATTAAAGAAAGGAACAAGGCATATAAGAAAGCAAAAAATACAATGAATACTAAGTATCAGGGGGTAGCCGTGTTAGTCTGTATCTACAAAAACAACAAGGAGTCTGGTGGCACCTTAAAGACTAATAGATTTATTTGGGCACAAGCTTTTGTGAGTAAAAACCTCACTCATGAAAGCTTATGCCCAAATAAATCTGTTAGTCTTTAAGGTGCCACCAGACTCCTTGTTGTTAATGAATACTAAGGATTTAATGAAATATAAAAGAAAGGTAATTATGAAGCGGGGGAAGAAAGCTGGAGAAAGTATGGTGGGAAAATAAATAAAGATACTAAAACATCAGGCAGATTCGGAAAATGAATAGAATATGGAGTAAGGGCAATTCTGTAGCAGGCCTCATCGTAGAAGGCCAAGGGACAAAAAGCTTGAACAAAGAAAAAGCAGAAGCCCTAGCAGAAATATTCCACAATGTTAGCAATGATGAAGATCAGATATAGAAATCTGTGTGATGGGGAAAAATTGTTAAAGAGAATCACGAGAACAGGAAGAGGTGGGAGGGAGATGAGAATACAATATTAAACAAAAACTTCTGTATGAGGGAACTTCAAAAAGCTATCGGTAAAAGCAATAACTCTGCACCAGGCAAGGATGGTGTATGGAACGAAATGCTCATACACCTGGATGAAGGAAGTCTGAAAATACCACTAAAACTATACAACAGTGTGTGGGGAACAGGTGAGCTACCAATAGAGATGAAACATGTGGTTGCAGTCCCAGCATGGAAACCAGGAAAGCTGCGAAAAAGACCTGATATGTACAGGCCAATTGCCCTTACATCATGTATGGGTAAAGCCATGGCAAAAACGAATGAACAATTAACAACATATCTAGAAAAAAAAGGACTTATAGACAATGCGAAAACTGGGTTCAGGAGGGGAAGGAGTACAGTTGATCACATACTAAGAGTAGAGATGGAGGCACAAAAAAGTCTGAGAAAAAGAGTAAATGATAGTAGCTTTCCTAAATATTGAAAAAGCATATGCCATGTTATGGAGACAGGGCTTATTGCGTACAATATCATCCATTAGCATAAAAGGAAGAATATATAGGTGGATAAAAGATTTCTTAAGTAAAAGAACTATGCAGGTCAGAGTAGGAAAAGCCTACTTTAGCATATATACACAATCATAAATGGCAGTCCGCAGGGGAGTGTTCTCAGCTGTATCTTACTCAATGTAATGATAAACAATCTCCCCAAAAGGACGAGTGCAGGAATAGGCACATCCTGGTTTTCGGATGATCACGCCATATGGGCTAAAAACTGAAACCAAGAAATAGGTGAGAAACAAATGAATGAAGTGCTTAGGAAAACTGCCGAATGGGGAAATGTGGGGCTTTGAATTTTCAATTCTCAAAATGAAAGGAATGATAGTCACTAAAAAGAAAATTAAAAAGATTAATTGTCTCTGTATGAACAGCTAATAGGTATAGTTAAAAGCTATAAATTCCTGGGGGTCACATTTGATAGGAAGCTAACATGGAAGGATCACATTGAAAATAGTGTAGATAAATGTAAAGGTAAACTCAACTTATTTTAAAGTATTTCTGGACCCACCCGATGAGCACAAAAGAAAGCAATGGTAGTGCATTATAGAGCATTAATAAGACCAAATACTGAGTACCAATGCCAAGCATTTAGTTCAGCATCGCAAACAATCTTAAGGAAGCTAGACGCAATCCAAGCTCATACATTATGCATTGTATGTGGTGTCTTCATCACAACACTATTGTGTATAATGCAGTTAGCTGCTGGTGAAGTGCCTGTAGCGTTAAGATTGAAGTTATTGAACTTAAGCGTTTGGGCAAAAGTTATAGGAAACAGAGAAGATGAAAACCCTAAACAAATATATGCAGAATGCTGGGAATTCAGTGGACAACATGGGGGTGGGAGGGAGAACCCAAAAAATGCCTCATGTCAACAGGATTGAGCTGAGTACAAAAGAACGAAGAGAAAAGAAAGACCTAAAAGAAATGACCACATATAGCTATTGGAAAATGCATTATGAGTGGAAAATCATGCTCCTGATATAAATGAACTATAAGGGGAATAGGAGAGCTAAATATAGTAAATTTAGCAAATCGATGTATGTGATAAATGGGGCAAACATTGCCAAATATTTACAGATGGAAAAAAGAAGGAGAGTGGAGATAGCATTCTCCATCCCAACATTCGGAAGAAAGAAATCCATGAGATTTAGCAACTGCATTAATTGACTATGCAAAACCTGGGGAAGCAAACAAAGTAGCATAGAACTTCACTGTTAGGAACAAAGTATCTTTGCTTAGAGGCACTCTCCCTGCTGAACCATGGACATACCATCCAATAGCTGTGCAATATTGTTGCCTCTTAATGACAGAAGACCAGATCCTCAGCTGGTGTAAACCAACATAGTTCCAGTGACTTTTACCAGCGCTATGCCAATTTATACCATCTGAGGACTTGCCCATAGTCCAAGCTGAACATACCTTCCTCATCACCAGTGCCAGTGGCCATCATCCTCACCAGGGCTACACAATACAGAAGTGAAATATAGTTTTCAGCAACACCAAAAATACAGTCCCTGGGACTTTCACATAGAAGACACTGGTGTGAGTTAGCTAAGCCTGAGCGTACTCATTTGCAAGCTGTGTTCACACTATGTGACCAGGTAGGCTTGCGTTTCTGAATAAAGGCCTCTATTCCTTCCTGTCCATCCTTCAGGGTCAGATTGTCCACCATGACCTGGGAGGTCATTCTGTAGGCAGCATCAAGGTCCAGTGCCATCTGTTTGTAAAAGGTGGCTTTCCCCAGTGCCACAACAGACCAGCTAGTTTCACATATCTTGCGTGCAATTTTCATGGTCTCCTCTTCCAGCTTGTCTTCTGGTACCACCCTGCTGATAAGTCCATGCAGCAATGCATCGTGGGCAGAAATAGGCTCTCCTGTGAACAGCATCTCTAATGCAACCTGGACAGAAAAAATAAATCCTATTGAGCCAGTTCAACTTGCTTTGGTTTACGTCAGCAATTAAAATGGAGACATAAGGCCCAATCTTGTTCACCCCTGAAGTCACTGGCAAAACTCTCATGGGCTTCAATGGGAGCAGGGTGGAGTCCAGAGGCAAAAATGTTTCAAAAGTGCCCACAGATTTTAGGTGCCAACTTGAGTCACCTGATCCTGATACCGAGAACTGCTGACCCCCCACGATTCCCACTGAAGCCAAGGGGAGGGGTGGGCACTCAGCATTTTCTAAAACATAGGCCCATCTTGGTGCTTTAAATTGGGCACATAAAAAGCAAAATAGAATAAAAATGAAGGCATGCCAAATCAGTGGGTAGTTTTTGAAAATGTTGGCCTTAGTTTTAGTTGTGTGTGTTTTTAATTAGACTCCCTGTCGCTCGTGTTAGATCACGGCTACATCTATTTCTGTATCCTGCTTCCTGCAGTGACCTGTGTCTGATGCTTTAAATGAGAGGGGGAAAATCCATAATGTACTTGGCTAATTGTACAGTGCTAAATATGGGGAGAAAAATGCCTTGCTGACCGTAGGGGCAATCAGCTGATATCCTGAATCATGAGCTCTAACTACCCTTGTTATCGTCTTTGCTTCAGTAGCTACAAATAGAAGCATCTCAGACACATTCCATTTGATAAGATGTAAAAACAGAAGTTCTAACAGTTGCAACAATGGTGCTTTTTAATCTGATATGGGAGCACTTGCACTTTAAAAAAATACACTGACACATATTTTAAACATGGAATTGTGCAATCAGAAATATTGGAAGGATGATCCAGGAGCAGCTGTAGTATCAAACCATTCTAACTCACTCAATAGAAAATGGACTAGATTTCAAGAGGATGGCATCAGAGCCAGGAAGTTAAGGGTTAAGGTCCCTTTCCTGCAATCTGACCTGCACAGGAGGACCCTTGCACTTGAGCAGATCCCCATTGACGAGCTTCTGCCCAGATGGATACAGTATGAGGACTGTATCCTCACAGCTCAAACAAGGCTTTGTGAAGTGCATCGTATTCCTTATGTAGTGAGTGAGGCCCATACTCACAGTCAGCAGGAAAGAAAAGGGGAGGAGATAAAGGAAGGTCATAGATGCTATTTAAAACAGATCTAAGCAGATCATGTTGGCATTGAAATGTCAGTGCTTGGCAGGAATGGATACCTAGTGGGACTGGTATCCTGCACTTGGAGGGGTCTCTCAGCAGGGGGAAAGCATCATTGTCTAAAGGAAAGAATTTACTGGCAGGAGGGAGAAGAACTACTGTGGTGATCTGCTGCTGCTGTGGGGACCCGCTGCTTGGGATCAGGGAGGTAGCAGAGCTGCTGTCCTGGAATACAGGTCACATCTACATTATTCTTGGACTTCCCAGCCCCCCTCAGACCAATGTTTTTTTCTAAAGTTGCTTTTGGCAGTGGAATGTTTTGCACTACAAAGTGCTGAGTGAGGAAGGTGCATGGATGGGAGCTAGAGCACGTAAATACAGGGTCTACTTTCAGGCACCGGAGAGAACAGTTCTCTCTTGAACACAGCCTACCTTTCTAGAAAGGGCTCTCCCTACGGCCACAGCTGGTGTGGAGCAGAACAGCCCGACCTTGACTCCGGGTGTAGCAAACCTGGATTTCTCACTCGCTACTGCAATGTCACAGCTCGCCACCAGCTGGCAGCCTGCTGCCGTAGCCAAGCCATTTACCTTGGCAATCACTGGGACGGGGAGTTTTTGGAGCAGAGTCATGACCTGTATGTGCAAAAGGAAGTGGTCAGCAGGTCACGGATGCGTAGGTGCAACATGTTCCCATAATCCATGACTTGAAGATGTTATTACAGATACAATAATTATCTTCACTGATTATTATCTGTGTCCCATTGTGCTGGGTGCTGAACGAACATACAATAAAAGACAGTCCCTACCCCCAAAGCGTATTACACAGAGCTGGGGGTCAGGACACTTCTGTGGTACTGATCCCATCTGTATAATGATACTTACCCATGTTTGAGCTCTGCAGATAAAAAGTGCTATTTACCTGCTAAGTGTTATCATGATTACCAACTCACATCAGCACACTGTGACCAGATGACAAATTTCAGCTGGTTTCTTCATCTCTTCTTGTGTGGGGGAAATCACTTCTGCTTAATCATATTTTACACTCCTTGGCTGAAATCTCCAAATTCAGTTTTGCATTAGCTCTGCCTTTATCTCAGTTCTTGTGCTATTGTTTAAAAACTAGTGTCCAGCACTTCTTGAGACATGGAACCAGGCAAGGAATCCGTTTGTGTACAGTAAACACATCTGCAGGTACTTTCTTCAAAACATCCTTTTAAAAAAAATTACCGTATTTGTTTTCTTGTGTTTAAACACGTCAGGAGAGCTAGTTTCTACTCCAAGATGTATCAGAGTTTTGTGTGGGATAATAATACCTAGCTTCTAAACAGTGCTTTTCATCAGTAGATTTCAAAGTGTGTTCCAAAGGAAGTCAGTATTATTATCCCCATTTTACAGATGGGAAAACTGAGGCAGAGATGAAGTGATCTGTCCAAGGGCATGCAGCAGGCCACTAGCAGACCCAGGACTAGAACTAATGTCACCTGAGCCCCTAGTCCAGTGTTCTATTCACCAGACCACATTGGGTATGTCACTTAATTTCCTTAGTTTCCCCACATGTAAGATGTGGCTATTTACCAATCAGACTTCTCTGCCACATAGGGGTAAAGTGAGGTTTGATTAGTGCTTTTCAATCTCTTTAAGATCCTCAGATGGAAGGGGCTACCGAAGTGCAAGATATTCCTGTTAGAAAAAAAGATCATATCTTATTTATTTTAGTCCCTGGCATTTCATTTCCTCTTGAACCTTCTTTATCATTTTCATGGTCCCAGGATATTTATTTGAAGCATGGTGCCTTATTTGTTCCTTACACTCATGGCTAAATTATTACACTCGTCATACACTAAGGCCCTGATTCTGTATAAGACTTATGCACTGACTTAGCTTTTTACACTACAAATAGTCTGCTAATCCTTCTATATTTTTCTTTATTAAATCAAAGCCTACCTTGCTACATCAAGAACCCCAAAGAATGAAATATCTGAGCCATTCTATTCCAATCCGCCTGCTGATTACAGCTGGAACTGCCGATAACTGAAATCCTGCACACGTTCATGGTATTAATTATAAACACAGGACAGTTTAATTTCCTTTGGTGTTAAAGTGGAGAAAATTGCAAACTCTTGATTCCACTCTATATGACAGTAGAACAGGTATTATGTTTCCAGTTTGATCTTCCCTTTTCCATGAACCAGTGGCTGTTTGCTGAGTTGCCCATGGTCAGCATGGCAGGACATTGCTCAGATGGGGGTTAGGCACAAGCCTGTATGAATAACACATGACTATCTTCAACCAGGGGTAAATGTAGCCAGCCCTGATTCAATGGGTGCACTATACTAAACAGCTGAGGGGGCACTGCCCACCTGCAGCAGCCCCCTCCTTCCTAGCACTGCAACCTTAATCCCAGCCTGGTGCTGAGGGGAGGTCTTGAGAGGCAGGGGCTGGAGAGCGAGACCATCCCCTCACTCACCCTGAAGTAGCTGCTCCTGTCCTGCAGAGCTGGGGCTGGCTCCCCACTCTGGGTGTTGGGTCACAGTGCCACTCAGGTTCGGCCTGGCTGCCTCCCCATCCTGTTTTCCTGGTTTTGCACCCTTGGTTTCATGATTTCTGTGGGTGCAACTGAACCCATGAACCCAACCTCAAGCTACCCCTGTCTTCAACTGAAAGGAGAAAAAAATCAGCCTTAAATTAAACATGTATCTTACTCATAAAAACAGGCAAATCCATGGGTGTTATCAGTATGTCTAATCGTACCTGGCACTTACATAGCAACTTTCTCATGAGATTCTCAGAGCTTTTAACAAATATCAGTAAATTAACCATGTGTCCCTATTGGTTCCAGTTGATCAACTAGGTTTTGGAATAGGACAACAGATCCTAATTGATGCAAGATAGGTTAGGAGTATTATGCCTATGAAACAGATAAGGAATTGATCCATATTTGCGCAAAGTGCAAGACTCATGCAGTGATGATACATGGATCAAATATTAAAAAGATTTAAAGGAACATGAAACAATTATACCTAGTTTAGGGTATTTGCATATTGCAGATACAAGCCTTTAATCATGCATAATCCTTGCACTTCTGTTTGCATATGGAGAAATGACGAGAGGAAATAACATGTCCAAGATCAGAGAGTGGCAGAGTCAGGAACTGGAGTCAGGAGTCTAGAGGGCCAAGCTCTGCTCTAACCACTAGACCACCACATTCTCTCCCTTCTTAAACTTTTTTCATTGCTCCATTCAGCTCCTCACTTTAATAGTGGATTCACTGAAACGCCAACACCTCTTCATTGGCATTAGTGCAAAACCAGCACCCTGGCTTACCTCAGCGCAGGTCTCAAATACTTCAATATGGTGCTTCGTGTCCCGTTCACTAGACAATTCCTTTAAATCATGGCCAGCGGAAAATACAGGTCCTTCCGCTGCAAAGCATGCAATAAAATGAAGAAAAAAACCTGTAAACGTCGCTGATCTGAATGAATCTAGCATCTTGGGCCGGTGACAATGCAGAATGTAATAAGTCCTACAAGGCAGAAGTAGAGATACCCAAAAAATGGGGGTGGGGGTACTTTGCAAAAACATCACAAAATGTTGGCGCCTGTTTTTTAGATCAAGCTTTCAACTGCCATTATACAGACTGCTGTACAGCATTTAGTCACATAAGCCCCATGGACTCTAATGGGCATTGTAAGGACACATCTGTAGAGGAAGCCCATGAGCTTTCATTTTCAGCTTCACTTTGCCTTCCATTGTAAGTACCCAGTGAAATGCAACAGTGATCTCACATCACTTGTTACTGAGCACCTCTTGTGTAACTTAGTGCAAGCCATGACAACTGGTCATCTAGGAGAGGCACAAAATGGCAGACATAATAAGAATTTACATGCACGTAGCTCAAATATATTTCATCCCAAAGTCATCCAAGGGACCTTATAATCTTAAATTGATATACAAGCCATACAAAGGGATCTCTTAAGCTGCTGAAATGCAGCCACCTCTGGGGTGAAAACATGACAATTTCTTAATTGTATAGTAACACTACGGATCGGTTCAATGCAGGAGGTACCTGCCAGGGCCGGCTCCAGGTTTTCTGCCGCCCCAAGTGGCGAGGCACTTCGGTGGCAGCTCAAAGAGGAAGAGAGGGACTGAGGGACCCGCCGCCAAATTCCCGCCGAAGACCCGGACGTGCCGCCCCAATAGCAAACGGAGTGCCGCCCCTTTGTATTGGCCGCCCCAAGCACCTGCTTCCTTGGCTGGTGCCTGGAGCCGGCCCTGGTACCTCCATCGTGACAAATCATGACAGCCACATGTTCACCTTATTAATATTACTGCTGTGTGTGAAATGCTCCCTAGCAACTCAGGTCTCCTAGGAGAAATCCAGAGGGGAGTTAGTGCTGCTTCTTGCAGTAGTGACACCCCCTCCTCAGCTCGGAGAGAAGGTGGTATACCAAATGCACTGCTCCTGAGCGAGGGGGGCTGGGCAGCGCAGGAGGCAAGGGAAAAGCATAGTGGGGCTGGCTCTCTGCGTGTATGCCTTGTGATCTGCGAGGATAGAACCATATATCTCCAAGGATCCTCAAGCTCTGTGAAGTCAGGAGGCTGCAGCCCCTCAAAAATAACGTGAGGTCACACCCACAGAATTTTTGAAATTCTTTCCTTCATCCCGTTGGCTTTTCCATGGGAGGGGGGTAGTATTTGGCCCCCTGTGTTTAGCAGTTTCCTACCTCAGTCAATAGGAAGTGATGCGGTTTTACAGGGCTCAGCCAAGCTTTTCAGAAAACACCACAAAATAGTCATTCAGTGCAACTTAAATAACAGCTCCTACCCAGTATGGTGGGGAGCTGCTCTGTTCTTAGGCTGATTAACACAGTTCTCTCCTGTTTACACAGCACTCAGCAGCCTCTGGTTAATATTTCACCCACGCTAAATAAAGATCAGGATTCTGGTGCCAGGTTGTTCAGGAGGGCAACAGACAAGAACTGTCTTTCTTCTCAGATGGTTGTTGTGGGCAATGGTTGCTCCACCTCCAAAGCTTTCATCTGTGGAGTCCCACATGGCTCAGTCCTCTCTCTCTTCTCTCCCCAGGATCCTTTAACTATATGAGGCGGTCGGGAAGGCTGGTGTGACAGCACAGACTGAAGTGCCAGCAGTAGGCAGAATACACCCAGCTATACATCTCCTTTATGTCAAACACAAACAGTACCACCCCCCAGCTCTCTCAATGCCTACTAGAAATCTGTACCTAGATGAATGCTGAATCCTGGCCACAGCAAGGTAATAGTGGTAGGAAGAAGGAAGTATCCTCTCTATCGAGGGCATTTGTCCTCAGGATAAGTTGGTTGGCAGTTTTGGGGTTCTTCAGAGCTCCTCATTACTAATGGATACTTATGTAGCCAGGCACCAAAAAACATCCATGTCCAACTGCAAAGACTGTGTCCCATCCCTGCAGACAGACATAACCCTGGCCATGTAATTGTTCTCTTTGTGCCAGATCGTTGTAACTAATTATGTCTGGGGAAAAGCCACACGCACGCCCTTAAAAAGCTCCTATTTATACAAAACACAGTAGCCCATGGGCCACTCCACTGCTAGGTCATGAAAAACCATCCCATAGGATTCGGCCTGAGATCACTTCCTCCTCCATATCAGCTGCATTCCACTAAAACAATGAAACTGGAGTAGAGCTGGTTGAAAGTTCTCGTTTAAAAAAAAAAATTAAAACAAGAAATAATCCCCCAAGTAAAAATTTTGAATATTTCACAAAATGTTTACTTTTTTTGATTTTGAAAAATTAGTACAAAATTTCAAAAAAATGGTCACTTTCCCCCTGTTTGTTTCACCCTCTCTTCTGTGGAGCATCCCAGGGCAGCTCATGAGTGTACAGGAGCCAGAATTTTCACAGGGGCTGCACCTAGATGATGAAACTCATTACAGCAAGTCATAAAAAGTACCATGGACTTTCAAAGCTAACTGAAAACTCATCTCTCTGACCTGCCTTTCCCTCAATAAGCCCTTCACCCACAGCAATATACACACAATCCAACTCTCACAACAATGCACACAAAATGAAAAAGAATTATAAACGAATCAAGCTATTGCTCCTATAGGCCAGAAAAGAAAAAAGATTGTTTATTGTTTTTTTTCTATTTTATATGCTCTGGAAGTGCTCAGATATTACTGTTGTATTCCAGTTCTTATACCATCCCCATCAACTTTACCTATAGTGATAGGGGTTATATGAGTATCTAGAAGGAAGAAGGGACATAATAAAACTTGGATCTTATATAATGCTGGTCACTTTTAGATCTTTATCATGTTTGTCATCTTTCCTTTTACAAATAGGGAGACTGAGGGACGGTGAAGTTTGGAGACTTGCGCAAGAGTACAAAGGCAGCTAGTGATTTAGCTGGGAATAGAATCCACATCTCCTGAGTCTCAATATCGTGTCCTAGCCACTGAACTTCTGCACAACATGTTGTGACACTGATCACAATATCAACATTAAGCACATGAGCCTCTGGAATTGCCACTGAAATCAATGGGAGTTGTGGGAGCTCAACACCTCTGAACAGTAAACCCTTAAAAAAAAAAAGGAATTTTCTTTAACCTGATGGTCATTGTAACCTAGGCTTTATTCTGTTAAAAAATCCCTATATATAAAATTGATTTTTAAAAGAAAAGAAAAGTAGCAACTGGACTTATGAACCCTTAAAAATATATTGCAGTAATGGTCCAAAACACTGCAGCTTACAAGAGGGTTTCTGCAGTGTTTGTCACTAGTGTAGATTTGTATTTTTACTGAGTGAAGGAAAGTTTCGTTATTACTATCATCAGTACTTATTATTGCACATATAGAGTAGGGCCAGACCCTGCATGGACTTATGCATACGCTTAGGTTCACACAGTGTGGGTAGTACTCTCTCAGGTCACTTTGAAGGTATTGCTCACAGTGTGTAAAATTAAGCATATCTGTAGGACTTCTGATTTTAAGTCTTAACCAATAAAACACGATATAAAAAAAATAGTGTTTATCAAATAAACCCTGGCAATGGTTACTTGTATTTAAGGACTTGTCTACACAGAGCAGTAATGCAGACTATGAGGGGGTGATTTCTAAAGCACACAAATGTGTTGCGCATTAACTGGTCTGTGCAGACCCTGCTGGTGGGCACTAAAGGTTCCCTGGTGCGCTTTAGCATAGTGTGGTTCGAAACAGTAGTAGGTTGATGTACACCAGGGAACATTATGAAGAGGTTGCTCATTACAGTGTATACAAAGAGAAAACTCCAACATCCCTGATTTTTGGACTCATCGATTTTAAGGCCAAAAGGGACCATCATGATCATGTAGTCTGACCTGCTGCACATTGCAGGCCACAGAATATCACCCCCTCCCCGATTCCTGTAATACGCCCATAACCTCTGGCTGAGTTACTGAAGTCTTTAAATCAAGATTTGAGAACTACAAGTTACAGAGAATCCACCATTTACACTCGTTCAAACCAGTTCGTGACCTGTGACCCACGCTGCAGAGGAAGGTGAAAACCCCCCAGGGTCTCTGCCAATCTGTCCTGGGGAAAAATTCCTTCTGACTCCAAATATGGTGATCAGTTAGACCCTCAGCATGTGGGTGAGACCCACTAGTCAAAAACCTGGGAAAGAATTCTCTGTAGTAACTCAAAGCCCTCCCCATCTAGTGTCCCATCTCCAGACACTGGAGATATGGGCCATATATCCTCATCATACCATGCCCTTCATAAGCTTATCAAGCTCAGTCTTCAAACAAGTTAGATTTTTTGCCCCCACTGCTCCCCTGGAAGACTGTTTCATCTACAGCTACACAAAATTTAAAAATTGCTAAAAATAACCCCCTAAAAATGAAATTAATAAGCCCTGAAAAATAGAAGCCCTACATATATGTAAGTCTTTGCAGGATCCCCAGATCTGTAATGACATTCATCTAAAACACCTAACAGAGTTTGGGTAAGTATTATTCCAATTTTACAGCAGGGTAAACAATGGCCCTAACTCTGCAAATTTAGAACTGACAGTGAACCAAAACATCCATTATTTGCCCAGCTCTAACACTGTCCAAACCACCACTAGGTATATGGCATTGTAGAACATGGCAGTTAACCCATCTTTTTTTCCAGCCTTTATTTTCCCCTGAGATCAAGGAAGTACCTGAAATGATGATGACTCTGAGAGCCTTGCTTTCGATATCATGCAGAATATCATCGCGGAGACATATCAGCATAGAGAGTGACAGAGCATTTCTTTTCTTAGGGTTATTCAAGATAATGTGTCTGTAAAGATTTTAATAACAACTTGGTCATGATCCAGTCACACAAAATAGAATCTCTGCGACTGTTTCTGGAATCAAAGCTTTGGTCAAAATAAGGACGGGCACTTGAAATTTGTTATTTTATTTAATATTATTTATTTGTATTGCAGTAGAGCCAAGAGACCTCATCAGTGCTCAGGACCCCATTGTGCTAGGCACTGTACAATCATGTAACAAAAAGACTGTCCCTCTGCTAAAGAATTTACAGCTGAATCTGGTTTTAAACTTGCCACCAGAAGCATTTCTTGACAGCTTTGTTCCCTGACGGAGGCTGTCGTGATCCTCTGTATCAGATATGGACTGGCTACAGAGCTTACTTATACATGCCAGATGTGTTCATCATTAGACCCTTGGGAGGCCACCTCTTGGGAACAGACAGAAGTCATGTTTATTCTATTATCACTTCTCTCCCATGGTGGCAAAGGGTAAGAGCATGACAATTTCATAAAGTGAAGGCAGGAGTCCCCTTCCCCCCGCCAAAAAATACAAAATTTAATTTAAAAATTCCAAGCCACACACTTTGTGGGACTAAGAAGGCACAGTTATGTCCTGTACCTCATTGTGTCTGTTTAGAGCCCAATCCTGCACACATTTAAGACCAGGCATAACACTTGTGACTGTGAATAATCCCATTTAGGTCAACAGGACTACACTTGATGGAAATAAGCATGGGAGCCTTGGGCAATGGGGCTCCAGGCAGGCCCAGGGGTCTGTCCATACAGAAGCAACTGCAGGATCTAGCCCTGGGATTCTCAGGACAAATTTTTTGGTGGCTGCACTCACTGACAGCCGCTCTCATATTTTTTCCTATAATATTTGGTTAGCTTTAGGAAAAACAAATAAATATGCACATACACATGTCCAAATTATTGTAATATATTTATTGCTAGCTAGTAAGTCTGCTGTGAAAAGTGATATTAACAAACATACAAGTATCACTTTTCACAGCAGACGTACTCAACCCTGGCAAGCCCGGGACAAATTAAACACTGGATGGGGGTCAGGGGAGGCAGCGGGGTTAGGGACGATGGGGGTGGTAGGTGGGTGGCTGGGGGAGGCAGCAGGGGGCTGGAGCCTGAAGCCCCACGGCTGTGCAGCCAGAGCCCAGGGCTGGAGCCCAAAGTCCCGTGGGCAGAGCCTGCCACCCCAACACACCAGGGCTGAAGCCCAAAGCCTGAGCCCCACCACTCCTGGGAAGGTGGGGAACTCACCAGCTGCTCCTCCAGTGTTGTGCCCCAGGTGTCTCTGGAGGGGAGCAGGGCCCAACCCCTGCTGGCAGATACAGCAACCAACACACAGGTGGTGCATCCAGAAGCACCCAGGAAGGGCCACTACTATGCCACTTCCCCCCCGCATCACAGCGCAGGAGGTTGTGGCTGCAAGAAAAGCCCCTGGTGGCTGCATTTGAGAAACACTGACTTTTGAGAAACACTGACAGCGCTTTAACGTGGATTGTGTAGTCACGGCAGAGACTCTCCCAGGCTCTAAAAAAACCCACCTCCACGAGAGGCGTAGCTCCCAGCGCTGGTGCACTGTTTACACTGGCGCTGTACAGCGCTGAAACTTGCTGCGCTCAGGGGGTGTTTTTTCACACCCCTGAGCAAGGAAGTTGCAGCACTGTAAATTGCCAGTGTAGACAAGCCCTTCGATTGGTAAATCTCTGTGGCAGAGAGACTCCCGGCTCTTCATAGGTCAGACAGCACCATGCACACCATGGGCAGTGTAGTCAGGATTTTATATACAAGGAAAATTTAGAAGTGCAAATGTTCTGTCAAAATTATTAAGCCACACCCACTGTGCTAGGGACTGAACAGAGTAACAGACACGTGGGAAGGCCCCATCCCTGCTCCTGTAAACTATTTAATGTCCTTATTTTTAAAAGGACTTTTAAAAAATGATTCCCCTGGGTTTTGACTGTCATGCTGGCCTTGAACTGTACCCCATCCACCTTTCAGTTACATTCACTCATTGCACAGCCAAATCTATGCAGGTCCCCCACAAAAGTTGGCATTGTCTCATTAAATCACTGACACCAGAAACCCAGAGTTATGAAGATTAACTGCATAGAAAACTCTGTCTGCATGTCAGGGAAATCCATCAGCATTTCAACCCTTTTGCTATTAAGGGCGAGTTGGGGGTGGGGTCTAGTGCGTTACACAGACACCCCTCGTTTTGGGGTCTGGGTTATAGACACAATCCCACGACGGGAATGTCCCATGAGGGCACTCGGGAGAGTGGGGACTACTCTGAAGTCCCAGCGCTGGTCGGTTCTGTTTGACCCTTTGCTCAGCGGCTCCCACGGGGGCAGCAGCGCAGCCTCACCTGATGCCATCCAGCTGCCGAGTGCTGGTGAGTTTCTCCAGCTGTGGCTGCTGCCCCGATCCAGCTGTGGCGCCGCGGCGGAACCCAGAGGCAAGGGGGCAGCGGAGGATCCGGGAGGGCTTCAGCCTCCAGAGTCTCAGGCTCGCAGCCATTGCTCGTTTGGGGGAGGAGTTGCAGTGCGATTGCTGGAGCCTTTCTGGCTCTCTGCTGACCCCTAGGCTGGCGGGGCTCTGCAGAGACACGAGCCGGGGAAATGCTACTCCTCCACCCGGTCACCCACAGCCAGTCTGCGCCCTCTGCCTGCACAGAGCGCTGGGTGTATTGTGCTCGCCTCTGCTCTACAGGCACTCGCAGCCTGATGCCGCCCTGCCCTGCCCCTCAGTGCAAAGCCATCGCCATTCTGACTCGGCAGCGCTCCTTGTGCACAGGTGTCCGTGACAATGCATTAGAGCAGGACAATGGGGAACCGGACCTAATGATTCCTTCCAGCCCCCGCCACTGGTGTGATGCTGTTGTGCAGGCTCCCAAAGCAGCAGTGACCTTAATATGCCCAGTACAGCAGGGGGTTCTCAAACTGGGGGTCAGGACCCCTCAGGGGGTCACGAGGTTATTAGGTGGGGGATTAAGAGCTGTCAGCCTCCACCCCAACCCCTGTTTTGCCTCCAGTATTTAAATATAGAAAAAGTGGTTTTAATTTATAAGGGGGGGTCGCACTCAGAGACTTGCTGTGTGAAAGGGGTCACCAGTACAAAAGTTTGAGAATTACTGCAGTACAGGATTTGGCCCCATTTCTTTGCAGATGCTTAATGTATCAGGGAGGATGTTGTTCAGGTCACTCTTCATAGGTGGGAAGCATTCATGTAGAAGGAATTACTCTTCCCTCTTTTGAATAGTTCTGCTGTTCTTTATAGTTACCCTCAGCAAAACTGCCTGGATCTGTGACATTCTGATTTTTTGGGAGCTGGGGATTTAGGTCTAAGTCTGCATCAGTAAATTGTCTTAAATGGCCTTTTGATAATGGGGAACGATCGGTTTTTGGGCTGATGCTGATCATCCTGAAACAGTGGGAAGAAATACTAATTTCTGAAAATTTTGTCTTAATTTGCAGATTGGAATGATATTGTCTGTCTCTAGCACCATCTAGCTGAAATTCTGAAGGAACTTTAAAAATCTTAATTAAGACTCACAGCCACTTTGTGAGGCAGCTACTCATCAGTCTGATTATTTATTCTGCTTGTACAGAGGGGGAAACTGAGGCACAGAGCTGCAGTGACTTTCTAGAGATCACATGATTTGATAGCAGAATAGGGAATAGAAGAAAATCATGAGATTAAAAAAACATTACACTGTGGTTTTTGGCCTGTCCTTAGATTGTTGAGCTCTCTCTGCTCATCCCCAGTGTGTATATGACAATTGGTGCTGCCCACCCTCCCATATTTATTGTGTGAGGTGATTTGCAGGAGCTCTCACCCTCACATCTGCTCAGCGCCCCAGATCATCAATTCTGTTCCCTGCCCCCACAACCTCCCTTCTGCTCCTCCTGGGATTCTTCACCCCCTTCCCAGGCCTTGGGGAGCTACAGTGGGGTCCTCTTTCCCACTTCCAGGTTGGAGGGGACAGCTCCAGGGGCTCTTCATCCCCCCTTCCCAGACCACAAGAGGGGAGGTGGGAGTGGAGGTGCCCTGAGATGCTGGACTTTCTGCTCCCTCCTTCCCCCTCCCCTCCTGTGAGTATGGTGTCAGCTCAGCTTGCTTCCTACAGCAGCTCTGATTGGCTGCTCTAACCCAGATGGTGGGCACTGGGGGGCAAGCAGCCCATCAAAGAAGGTCCCCCCTCCAGGCAGGGCTGAAATACTCTAGAAAAAAGGGCTGGAGCTTTTAGCCTCATTGCCAGGGAGTCAGCCCTGACTGAAATCCCACTGCTAGTGGAAAAATTGAAAGTTTCCTGCACTGAGGAGCCCAGAGACCCCTACATTATAGGGACTAAAACTTCAGGAAGTATGGTAGGAAGTGGCCCAGGGAGATAGAGTGAGTGGTATCTCCCACCTGTGTAAGGCCAATGTGTTGCAGCTGGATTCCCCGCTGACCCAGTGGCAGACCACTCCACCACTATTAGGGCCCTGGGCTGGGACCCAGTGGAGTCAGGTGGGCCTGGGTCCCCCTACCCTGGCTGCCACCCCCACTTTGGTAGTGGCCCCTGGATCTGACCCCTAGGCCACACAGCCCTGCTTTCGAGGGCCGCCATATGGACCCCGGTTCCTAGGCTGCCGCTTTGACTCTGGCCATTGAGCCGTACTGTCTTGAGTCCCAGAATGGTCTAGTAGAGTGTAACCGTGGTGTCACCAGACCCACAATCCACCTCAAAGGGGGACGCAGTGTGCATAAATCACCACAGGCAGGCAGCCAACAAGGCGCTGCTGATCAGCTGGGAAAGATGCTATTGTACACAGAGCACACTGGCATTATGCATTCCACTCCCCGTTCAGCAAGGTTCTTACACCCACATAGATTTCCATCCTCATCCACAATCACACCAGCTCACCCCAGGCCCCCTGCCACGTATTAAGAGAAAATACTGAAAATTATAAATGTTTTATGCACAAGCATGTCTCCATTATCTATACTTTACCATGGTGATTGGTGCAGTAGAAATAATGTATAAAGGTATATACAACAACAAGATATGTGCATTGTGGATGTGAATTTTTGCTCCCATTCCATTGCCTGATCAAACAATCCTCCCCACTTTTGCTAGTCTGGCTCCGATCTTGTAAAGCAGTGGTACTCAACCTTTCTAGACAGTACCCCTTTCAGGAGTCTGATTTGTCTTCATACCCCATTTTTACCATATAATTATAACATAAATTTGGAATATCAATATTGTACTTACATTTCAGTGTATAGTATATAGAGCAGTATAATCGAGTTATTGTCGGTATGAAATTTTAGTTTGTACTGACTTTGCTGGTGCTTTTTATGCAGCCTGTTGTAAAACTAGGCTAATATCTAGATGAGTTGATACTGAATACCCCTTGGAAGACCTCTGCGTACCCCCAGGGGTACATGTACCCTTGGTTGGGAATCACTGTTGTGAAGTAACTATAGATGTCTAGAATAAGGGCCTGATTTTCAGAGGGACCTACTGAATACCCAGAGCTCCCATAGACTTTAGTTTTCGTTGTGGGTGCCTGTAATGCCTGGTGGCTGTGGCATGCTAGGGGGGCAGTTCAGAGCAGTAATTAAGCGTGCCCCGGTGGTTAGGTAGCTGGAAGGTTGATCAATATCAGAGGCTGTCTGGGACAATGGTTGGAGTTCTCACTGGGGTTAGTAACAAGAAGGTTCAATCTAAGGAGCCGGGTCAGCAGGTTAGGAAGGCAAGGTCGGGCGAAGTGGCACGGCAGGGTCAGGCAAGGCAGTCTAAGCAGTGACCAGCAGGTAATGCTCTATTGTTCAGACAGCGTCGTCTTCCTGTCAGGGTCTTGAGAGTGCTGCCTGTCATCCAATCAGGAGCCTGGGGTGTGGCTTGCGTGCATCTGCAGGCCTTTAACACTAAGACGTTGTTCAGGGGCACCATTGCTATGGTGCAGCCCTAAGGATGCCCCCTCAGGACCTGCTGGACTTGGGTTCAATACCACCATCCAGACACCACTCTTCTTTCTTGGGGTGCCAAAAGACTGGGTTTGTCCAGATGGGCTCTGTGGAAGGCTCTAACATTTTCGGGAGCGTGCTCATAGTGGGCACTGGGCAGGTTCCCAGGACTGCTCCTCCGGCCAGTACACTTCCCAGTCAACAAGGTACTATATCTGGGAGTCAGGATCTCATGGACAAGGCACTTGCTTTGGCCTTGGAGTGATGGAGGGGGAGGCTGTTTTCATTTGGGAAAGGGAATGTTGGAGAAGGGTTTAAGGAGGGAGACATGGAATAGAGCGTGAACCTTAAGGCAGTAGGAAAATTGAAGTTTGAAGGTTACTGGGTTGATTTGCCTGCAGCTCTGGTAGGGTACTGATGGTCCAGTTTATGTATGGGTCGCTGGTCTTGAGTTGCATGGCCAATAGCCATATCTTTAATCCTACTGCAAATATAGGGCCCTCTGGATGGTGATGGTCAGCATGAGGTTTGTACTCCGTCTTGGCCGCATCTAGGTTTTGTTTCAACTCTTCCTGTGTTTGCTGGATTTGACGAACCAGGTCTGAAGCTGTGGGTACTGTGAGTAGTGCAGGGTGAAAACAGGGAAGCCATAATTTGCGCCAAAAAAAAAAAAAAGGAGAGCGAGAGAGAGAGGAAAAAAAAGAGCTCATCTTGGTTGAGGCGTGGTCTGCATTGTTGTATGCAAATTCTGTGTGTAGAAGCAGTGAGGCCCAGTTATTTGGGTGGTAGTTTGTGAAGCATTGCAGGTATTGTTCCAATATCTGGTTCAATCTTTCTGATTGGCCATTGGTTTGTAGATGGTAGGCAGTCAATGCATGGAGATACACCTCTAGAAAGTGGAACACCTTCCTCCAAAACCAAGATTTTTGGGAACCCCAGGTTAGGGCTTTACCAGAGCACAGGTATTCTAGATTTTTGTGATCAGTGAACACCTGAATTGGGTGTCTGGCTCCTTCTAGATAATGCCTCCAGGTCTCGAAAGCTGCTTTGATGGCAAGTAGTTCCCTATAAGTTGCGCGCTTGGGTGGCCGTGCAGGAGAGACTCAAGTGCTGCCGAGCTGATTAGCAGAGCGCACAGCAGGCAGCATGTATTCAGGTGTCCCTCCACCCACGTTGCTCTGTCCTGCAACTGCTCCCAGGACCCCCCTGGGGCGGGAAGAGGAGAGGGGGTGCTGATGTCAGGATGTCCCTCTCTCACTGCCTCTGTACCCCATCTCCGCAGAGCAGGGCAGAGGGAACAGCCTGGCTCAGGAGGACTCGAAGCTGCTGCAATCTGAGGTCTGAATGGTGAGTGACTGAGTGCCTTTATTAAAGAGACAGTGCACTGTTTCTGAGATTTCCCCAGCAGCCATCTCACAGTCTCTCTCTCTTCCCCTCCCCATGTACCCCATCTCCGTAGAGCAAGGGAGGGGAGACAACAGGGCTCAGGTGTCAGGTCAGAGCAGGAGAGCTTTCAGTGAGTGTCTTAAAGAGACAGCATACGGCTTTCCCCAGCAGCCAGCACACACACA